ACTCCATTTAACCTCAAGTAAGGTCCTCTCATCTAAGGATTCAATCTAATAAACTCTCATTGACCACCACCAACTCTTTTTTAAGGCAAAGAGTTCCTTAGTCTTCCTTAGGAAAGACTAACACTGTATATATTACTCCAAGTGCTGTCTGACCAAAGCCCCATGTAATTACAAGACTGGTTACACTTATGCTAACATCCCTTTGCTACAAAGGCTAAAATGCCAAATTCCTTCCCAATTTCCAGCAGTTGTGCGCATATTAACATGCCGTAATTTGTGAATGAGGATCACCAAATTCCTCCGAATAGCAACATAAATTTGGTTTTAATTTAAAAAATTCAGCTATTCTGTTCTTCCCACCGAAGTGAATAATTTCATACTTCTCTAGATTAAATTTCACCTGCCAACTTCTTCGGAATGATTTAACTGGTTTACATCCTCTTGCAGCTTGCTTTAGCACAGTGCATACATCAGTGTTTGTATCTGCAGTTGTACACTGAACACATGCCTGGTACTGTATAGCTCATTTACTTACACACAACTACCAGCAAAGCAGTATTAGGATAGTGGGGTTGGCAGGCTGGGAGGTGTATATCTGAAAGAGGTCTAATGAGAAGTGGGCAAGTGAGGACTGGATTGGAATTCCAGAAGTGAGGGGAGAGGGATTGCTCTTGACGTCAAGGATGAAGATGGCATCAAAGAGCCCTAGAAAAACTAAAGTCAATGTGAATCAGAGCAAAAGTTCTCTCCACTGATTGGTGTCATACCAGGCACACAGGAAGACGGTTGTGTTTGTTGGAAATCAGTCCTCTCAGCTCCAGGACACCTCTGCAGGAGTTCCTTGGGGTCTGTCCTAAACCCAACCATCTTCACCTGCTTCATCAATGACCTTCCCTCCAGCATAAAATCTGAAGTGAGGATGTTTACTGTTGACACAATGTACAATGTTCAGAAACATTTTTACATCTTCAGGTACTGAAGCAGTCCGTGTCCAAATGCAGCAAGATCTGGGCAATATGCAGGTTTGGGCAAGTAACATTTGTACCGCACAAATACAAGGCAATCACATCTCTGAAAAGGGAGCATCTATCCATCATCCCTTGATATTCAATGATGTTACTTTCACTGATACCTCCACTGTCAACATCCTGAGGTTACCATTGACCAGAAGCTGAGTTGGACGAAGCCGTATAAATACTGTAGTTACAACAGCAGGTCAGAGGCTCGGAATCCTGCTGTGAATAACTCACTTCCTGATTCTCCAAAGGTCAGTCCACCATATCCAAGGCACACGTCAGGAGTGTGATGGAATATTGCCCACTTGCTGGATGTTGCACCTCCAACAGCACTCAAGAAGCTTGATACCATCCAGGACAGATCAACCTGCTTGACTGGCATCACATCCACAAGCATTCACTCATGCCACCACCACCGCCGCTCAGTAGCAGCAATGTGTACTATCTACAAGATGAACTGCAGAAATTCATCAACCTTCTTTATTCAGCACCATTCACATCCATGACCATTTTCAACCAGCGGGACAAGGGCAGCAGTTACATTTGAACATCACCACTGGTAAGTTTCCCTCCAAGCCACTCACCATCCTGACTTGGAAATATGTCACTGTTCCTTCACTATTGTGAGGTCAAAATCTTGGAATTCCCTTCCTAATGATATTGTCGGTCTACATACGGCACATGGACTGCAGTAGTTCAAGAAGGCAGCTCAGCACCACCTATTCAAGGGCAATTGCAGATGAACAATAAATGCTGGCACTACTGCCAGTGCCCACATCTCATAAGTGAATACAAGAGAAGGCTGCAGGGACATATGAGGTGGGTGGGTCAGGTAATCAGAAGGGTGCTGGACGTGAGGGCTGGTGTTGGTAGCAAGTCGTGGACAAGCTGAAGTGACATGTGGAAGGCAATGGTGGGTAATGGCAGGTTCAGGTGGCATCAGATAGTAAGTACAGGGGATCAGATAAGGAATGGGGGTAGGACAAGTGGACGGTGTGGGGGTATGGTGTCATGATTAGGTGGGGAGTGGGACATGTAAGATGTGAGAATGGTGGAGGTGGGGGATTTGGTCAGGTGGTGGTAGTAGGGAGACTGTTGGCATCCAGGAAGGTGGGGGAAGGTAAGGTGCAGTGGGAACACAGAGCGGTGGTAGATTGAGGAGCGGGCTGAATGAGAAATGGAGAAAATGCAAAGGGTTGAGAATAATAATGTGCAGAGAGAGAGCATGATAAAAGGATATGTAGAGATACACAGACATCTTCCTGCTCGAAGAATGTCTAAGCAAAAGGAGGAGGAAAATGAGGGATGGTGAAGAGTTAACTTGTTTCACATGTATGTCTTTCATCACAATGCTAGGTCCATTACTAATTATGAGTCTATTTTTACCACAGTTTCCATTTAGTCAGGCTTAAAATGTAATTTTTTTTTGACTTCACAGAGATTTACTTTGTTTTTTTGTTCATTTATATTAGACTTAAGTAGCTTATTATTTGAATTGTTGACTGGATTCTACATTTGTGGGGCTTTCTATCCAAAATGACCTTCCCTCTTTCATCAATATATTTAATTTGTACAGCAGCCATTGTGCAAATTTGTAAAGTTGCTTCGAGACACAGTTATATTTGCATATCAGACTATTGCCCTATAATAAAATGTCAGGCTGCTGTTCATCAAAGCCGAATGTGATGTGTTCTGATTGCTAACAAAGCATCTGTCCATGTATCATTGATGAGTAATATTTGACGTGGATACCCAGACATCTAATAATGTGTTAATTCATTTAATGTCACTAAGATTGCTAAACCCAGGCTCTTTCTGCTATTCTTTAGCATTTGCTGGCTTTCCAAAGTTCAGCATAGGCTGAATATTTATCAAGCCCCCTATCTCTTTCAAAGGGATCTGCCAAGCTGGGAGACAGAGAGAATGAGATGACAAGGTATAGAGCTGGATGAACACAGCAGGCCAAGCAGCATCAGAGGAGCAGGAAGGCTGACGTTTCGGGTCTAGACCCTTCTTCAGAAATGACAGAGAGAACTCTTTTTTTTTTTTGATTTCAAGAGGTTCTGAAGTTTTGGCACAATTGCAATTCCAAGGAATTGAAGGATTTGACATGCCAGAGAAGGCCAATGTTTGATGATCAAAGCAACAGAACAAATCCCAAGTGGAAAGGGGATGAGACATAAGGAAAGATTAGAGAAGTTCAAGCTCTACAGGCTGTAAAGAAGGTCAGTTAACCGGGACCTCACTGTGGTACATTAAACATTAATTGGCAGTGCTAAAGTAAACCGAGAATGTTATTTTAAACTAAATTAGGGGTAGTAGAATCAGAAGTATCGAATGCACATCAGGAGGAACTTTCTATCCTTTAAGAATGAAAATAATTCACTAGGAAGTCTGTTGAGGACAGGTATTTAGATAGTGAGGTTACAACAGCAACAGACTTCACTGTGCTAGTTTGGGTGATTGAGATGGGTTCAACTAGAGACTTAGGACTCTGGAGGAACATGTATTGGTTGGATAAATATCTTTTTCATCCACAAATTCTCCTATGTTCTCAATCCATTTACTTCTGTTGAAAATCAAATACGAATTTGATTTTCTTCTAAAGTGGCTTATTTCTCTAAGCTGTCTAGGCATCTTTCCTACCAATAGTCCACACTGCATTGATCACAAAGCATAAATATCTAAAATCCAGCATCTTCTATTGTGCATGATTATTTAGGATTGATCAATAGCTAGGATTTGGAAGATCAATATAAAGTGAAAGTCCATTGCAATATCTAGGAAGCGTTGAATTGCTGTAATTACGTCAGTTGAGACTACACTGAAGATTTTGTTTGACTATGAATGTAAACAATATCATGGCAATATCCACAGAAGATCATGGAGCAACCCGGCCTTGGCCAACGTAACGCCCTTAAATAATACCAGCAAAGAGCATCAGGCTAAGTGGGCATTATTAATTTTGTTGGTTGTGGGACCTTGTGTGTAAATTGGTTGCTGCCTTTGCTTTCATAACATTAGTGATTGAAACTCAGAAGTAATTTAATGTGAAATACTTTGAGACATTCCAAGGACATGAAAAATGCGATGACAACCAAATTATTTCTTTGTTTCTATGCAGGATGACTTAATGAGAAACACCAATGACGTTAAATGGCATTCATGAAACCATGCCTAGGAAGATTAAAACTGATTTTTTACACATATTAATCTTGGTAGTCAAGCAGGAAACTGTTGCAATGGGATAATATTCTTGAGCTTATAACCTGTCTTTTTGCTGCTAACCATGACTCCTGCATCCCAGGAGCAGAATCACAAATTAACTATGTATCTATGAATGTGTCCATCACATTAGCACCATTTATAATCCAATCAGTAACATCCTCAGTGTTTATACACCAACTACATTCTCTCCATATATGACCAGTTAGCTATGTTTCCTGCATGTATCTTATCAGTCAGATCATCACTGCATACCTCACTTCAGTCTCATCCCTCTTCCCCATATGCAGTCAGTAAGTATATTTCCCCAGCCCCTGCTTTATCATGTTAAGTCACTGGTGTTGCATTTGCTGTGACACTTAGTCCCAGAAACATTGTGGAGGTTAGTTCTTCACAACATCCATTTATTTAAGTGGGATCCAAGCTATGTACTGCTTCTAATAGGTATTTACATTTTGTGACAGACATTTCTTTGGATCCGGTGTCACTGACCATGCCTATAGGCACACCACACATTCCCTCTGAAACAGCGTGTATCTGTATTTGTCAGTATTCACCTTATTGTCATGGACCCAACGGACAGAGTATTTACAGTTGACTCCAGTTTCCCTTCTTTCACAGTTAATTTTGACAGCTTTGCTTATTTCAGAGACAACAGTAGCAAGTCCAGGCTGTAAGCAGCCTGCACATTGAGCACCATTATCTAAGCATGGTTCTCTATTTATAGCACTCATTCCAAAAACAGTCACAGGCACTTACTGATTTCGAGTTGTCGCTGGATTCGTCCTTTGCAACGCTCCCTGTAATCAGTCTGTGTACCATTGTACTCAGACATCACCTCTACAAATTTACGGGACAGTGTAGAATGCTGCAAGCAAAAAGAGACAGGATTTGAATTGGAGTTGTGCAATAAAAATACAATTGAAAGAGCTACAGTGTCATCTGTTGTCCTTGTGTTCTACACTGTTCCCTAGTCGAAGACAGTACCAGACCCCTGATTCTATAAATGAAAATACTGCCTGAGAAAATTTACATTACTTACACTGTATACGCACACTTTTCAATTCTGGGCCCTACAATTTGCATGGACAATAGATTTTTAATCTAAAGAACAAAGAGTAATGTCAATGTCCATTTACATTTAAAATTGTTTTCTAACAGCATATATACTTTAGCTTTTTCTCTCACTAATAGCAGATAGTCAGTTGCTGGGAATACGAAAAAGCACTTCATCAGCAAACAGTGGCTTCAAATATGATTTCATTCGTATTAATTATTCCAATCAGAAATGGAGGCAGTAAGTTTAGAATGAGAATGATTCTTTCTGATCCTGCCAAGAACTCCACCAACCAGCCAGCCACACACCATTCTGACTTGAAAATATGTTGCCTTTCTTTCATTGTCACTGAGTTAAAATCCTGGAACTCCCTCCCTAACAGCACTGTGGGCATACCTACATCAAATAAGGAGTACGCTGTAGACACCCGTCATCCCTCTGGATTGGAAAATTGCTCATGCCACTCCATTTTTTTAAGAAGGGTGAAAGAAGAAAACCAGGCAATTACAGAACAATGTAACAAAATAAATAACCATGGATGCTGGAGATCTGAAACAAAAACAGAAATTGCTGGAGAAACTCAGTAAGTTTGGCAGCATCTATGGAAAGTAAGCAGAATTAACGTTTCAAGTCTGGTGATGCTTCTTCAGGACAGTTTGATGAGTCATTCTGATGACGAGTCAACGGACTTGAAACATTAACTCTGCTTTCTTCCCACATGTGCTGCCAGACTTGCTGAGTTTCTCCAGCAATTTCTGTTTTTGCATTACAGACCAGTTAATCTAATATTTGTGGTGGGGAAAATGTTGGAGTCAGTAATCAAGGATGGAGTAACTGACTACCTTGAAAACTTTCAGTTAAATCAGGGAGAGTCGATACGGATTCTTGACAGGTAGGTCATGCCTTACAAACTTCACTGAATGTTTTTGTAGAGGTGCCTAAGGTAGTGTCAGGGGAAATGTGTATGAATGTTGTTTATATGGACTTCCAGAAGGCATTTAATAAAGTCCCACACAAGAAACTGCTAACTAAGGTAGAAGCTCACAGAACTCACAGCAAATTACTGACATGGCTGGGAAATTGGTTGACTGTAAGGTGACAGAAAGTAGGGATGGTGGGCAGGTACTCTAATTGGTCAGATGTGACAGTGGTGTCCCAACAGGATGTGTGTCAGGGCTTTAGTTATTCACATTATGTATTAACATCTTGGATGAAGGCACAGCGATTCATATATTCAAATCTGATGACACAAACTTAGGTGGTATTATAGGCAGTGTAGATGATAGCATAAAATTATGAAGGGATATTGATAGACTAAGTGAACGGGTAAAACTGTGGCAGATGGAGCTCAATGTAAGCAAGTTCATTTTGGACTAAAAGAGGATGGATCAGGGTACTTTCTAGATGGTATGATGTTAAATACAGTGGATGTCCAAAGAGACTTGAAGGTTCAGGGGCATAGATTTTTAAAATGTTACAGACAGATGCAGAGAATAATCAAGAAAGCTAATGGGTTGCTGGATGTAGAGGACTGGAATACAAGGATGCAGAAGTTATACTACAGTTGTACCAAATCCTGATTAGACTCTATTTGGAGTACTGTGAACACATCTGGATACCAAACCTAAGGCCGGATATATTGACTTTGGAGGGAATACAATGTAGGTTTACAAGAACAATAATTGGACTTCAGGGGTTAAATTATGAACAGTGATTATACAAATTAGGCCTGTTTTCTGTAGAATTTAGAAGGTTAAGGGGTGATTGGATCAAAGTTTTCAAGATGTTAACAGGCAAAGACAGGTAGATAAACTATTTCCACTGTTTGGGGATTCTAGAACTAAGGGGCATATTCTCAGAACTGGGGCCAGACCACACAGGACTGATGTTAGGAAGTACTTCTACACAAAGAATGGTAGATGTTGGAACTCTCTTCCACAAATGGCAATGGATGCTGAATCAGTTTTTAATTTAAAATCTGAGGTAGATAAATTTTTGTTAAGCAACTGTATTAAGGCTTATGGACCCAAGGCACCTATATGGAGTTAGGCACAAATCAGCCACAATCTCATTGAATAGTGGAACAGGCTCAAGGGGACGAATAGCCTTCTCTGGTCCTATGTTCCTGAGTTTCTAAATGGACTGTAGTTCCAGGAGGCAGCTTACTCCACCTTCTCAAGGGCAAATAGGGACAGTCAATAAGTATTGGCCTTGCCAGTGCTGACAGCATCATTTGAACTATGTTAAAAAAACTGCTTCACTTTCCTTACCCTACCCCCCTGCTAAAGCCTGCAACCCTTGAACCCAATTCTGCATTTCTGAAGTGAACCAAAGAGTTCTCCTGGAAAATTTAAGATTCTTTTAGTTCCTACTTAAGTATTATTGCCACTGCAACCTATACAGTAAGTAGTGACCATTTCATCAGGTACCTGACTTCAGCATTGAAACTCTACAGACTTTGAAGGGATCATTTGGCAAGCGATTAATTTCAGAGCTCCTCACCCTTACTCTGTTACTGCAGCTGTTATGTTGACATGGTCACTGTTGACCCTAAGATATTGACAGCATTGGACTTGGCATCGGTGCTGCTGCTGAAGCTACGGAGAAATGGTTGGGATTTCTCTTGTGGGCAGTGGTCATTATTAGACACATCATGTTATCGACCATTTCTCAGCTTAAGCTTGGCATATTGCCCAAGTCTTTCTATTAGCTGGCACGTTGTTCTTTTATTGGAACAACTGTGAGACGGGAATAATCAATGAACAGCCTCATTCATGGCCTTATGACTGAATGAAAAATTGTAAAGTGATTGGGCTAAAAGCATATTGGTACCGTTTTCTCTAACAACTATTTGATTTAAGTATTAATATATTCATTATTTTATATTTCTGTAAGCTTGAGTTCCATATATTCCTGATAACATTCTATCTCTTCCTTTGTCACTATTAAAACACAGTAATATTAATTGTGGAAAACTCAAAAACTCGTAACATATGATAACAACCTGTATATGTTGCAAATGATAAAACATTTTCCCATGGTGCTGGTAAATCAGATGTTTATCCAATATATTCTTTTCTCAAAACCAATTCCGAAATTTCAAGGATACAGCATGTAACCGCTAAATGAAAAATGAAGAAAGCATTGGGAATGGACAATAATCACCGCAGCATAGATACAGGACAAGTACTGGCTGAGCACAGAAAAGAGAATAACTCTTCCTCTGATCAGTGATAGACATATAGACCCAAGCAAGGTATAAGGAGACAGAACAGTCCAGAGAGAATTGTCTCCAAAGAGAATAGCTAGTGACAGGATGAGGCAAAGAGGCAGCAAAGGCGATAGCAGAATAACAGGGACCAGGTTTTGAAAGGCTCAGAGATTTGTCCCTCCCGAGGGACAAAGATGTACAACAGTTATGAAGGAAAATGCTTGTCAAAGATCCTCACCGACAGAAAAGAGAACATGCGCCTGGGAAGACACAAGTTACCACCCAGTTTTACAGCAGAATTTTAATAAAATATTAAGCAATTTTTTGACTGACCAGTCTGGTCAATGATCTTTCTGTTTCCTTTCCACTAGCTGCCCGTCCAGACACGCTCCTAACACCTAACTGTACAATTATAAGCAGCCTATGAAAAACAGGGGACATTTCAAATAAGGAAAGACTTATCCTGCCAACCCCAAAACAGAAAGCCATTTTGGATGACCAGCGAATCTATTTGTATTCTGCACTCACAGGTCATCCTTGATCTCTGCACTTAACATGCAGCATGCTGAAATCATTCATTAAACCATTAAAGTATTGAAAGGTCTTCCTCATTTTTGCAAAATGCTCCCTATGCACATGTTCATTTTGCACAGCTGGACTATAGCAGTTGCCAGTTAATTACTTGATCTCACATTACTAGTTTTATCAATGTACCCTTCCTTTCCATAGCACCCATATACTTCATTAATAAAATACTATCCCACATCTTTCTGCAGCTGGTTCACTGTGAAACATTTCACACCCCTATGCTCTCTTTACTCCTTGCCAGCAACACAACATTTCCATTAACTGTAGATCCCTCTCAGCCCAGCAATTTTCCATGACATTGCCTGTGTTTGAATAAAATATTGCAGGCTTGCTTACAATGATTCTCTCCTTGTGGATCTTTCCGCTATAATTCTCATTAATATTGTTTCTTTCTGGTATGTTTTATTTAATCTCACCTACTTTTTATATTTGAAATCCTGCTGCAATGGTCTATTTGAGATATCTGTATCTGTTTAAATGAGATAGGACCACACTAACTGCAGAAATTTGCCAACCTAAGAAGCTACTCCTGTTCTTGGAAGCAAAAGATGTCTCTTATCTTTCTCATCACAGGTTTAGCCAGTCTGCCCCTCACTCTACAGCACAGTCTGTGAAGCAACCTTCGATGCTTTTGCATTTTAATGAGGCCTCACTCCTCAGTTTCCATGGGCAAGGCTTCCATCCAAGTTTTCCCAGGCCCATGGCTCTCTCATAACAAATATGTGGGTGGGGTGCCCTCCAGCAATAGCTAATGAAGATTTGATCTGGTGACAGGAACAGCTTATGCCTGTTGTTGTCATAATGTGGTGTATTGCTCAGACCCCTTCTCCTAGCTAACAATTTGAAAACAGAGATAACTCTGAGTTTCCATGCTCAATGCTGACTTTTTAAATTCGGTCTGAAATTAATGTTTAGAAGTTTGCACAGCAGAGCTTTTGATTGCCCTAATTTCTCTCTAATAACCTTGTGGTTGAGGGATTCCAAGGGACTCTCCCTTGGGTAGTTCTCATTG